CAGCAGAGGGCTTGAGGTCAACAAGGCTGAGCATAGCAAAACTCTTCTGAACCCTGAATCAGGAGTGAGGGAGAGCCTCGCTCGGCCTCTAAAAGTCACTTAACTCCTCTTTCCCAGAAACCCCTCTGGAGCCGAGCCTCCTCACCGTGCAAACCTCCCCTGTGGTGTCTGAGGTCCTGCAAGCCGCTGCCTCTGCCCCTCCCTGTGAGCACACTTACTAAAACTACTGGATTTCCAGGAAGCCATCAGGCAGGGCAGGAGCCCTCAGTCCCTGCCACGTCCCCAGCACAGCCACCAGCAAAGAAAAGATGCTCGATAAAACCTAAGCATCTCAAGTGGATACTGGTGTAAAAGTGAAGGCACAGCACTCGGGCCCTGAGTTCAAGTCCCAGGACCAGCACACACACACACACAGACACACACACACACACAATGTTAGCAGGAAGCAGCTGGCCCGGGAGGGGGCACTCACACTGGTAGTACTCAGCTCGGCCACTCTGCAGCACGATGGCCAGCACCAGCGTAAGCTGTGGGGTAGATTCCAGGAAGGTCTCGAAGAGGCGCAGCATGCTGATGTCCAGGGAGAGGAAGTCGGAGTAGGCCAGGTCGAACTCGGAGGGCACCTCCTGCCGCCATGCCAGCAGCCCCTGCCGCAGCCCTTGCAGGCACCTAGGCAGCACACATGCCCAGGAGACGGCTGAGGGCCTGCCTCACGGCATGGAGCCGACCAGCTACCATCCCAGCTTACCCACACGGCAATGGGGCCTTGGGCAAGCTGCCTCACCTTGCTGTTCCCTCATCTATAAAGTGGGGCAAATCCACCTGCTTCTCCTGCTGATCCAGCACTGTCCCAAGCCCTCATAACCCTGGTCCATTCATTTTACACTTAGGGGAAAGGCACTGGAAGCTAGTGGGGGCTGAGGACTGAGCCCAAAGGCAGGCCACAAAGCTGGCCTGCAGTAGTTGCTATTTTACCATGCATGCCTGAGATTTTCCTGGGAACCCATGGACAGAGGGAGCCATGGATGCCTCTGAACTCAGGCAAGTGGGGGGTCGGACTGTGTTTGGACAAGACAGAGGCAGAGGTTCCATTAGGAGGCTGCTGAATTCAGGCACCAGTGGCTCATATCCATTGGGAGGCTGAGATCAGGAAGATTGCAGTTCTAGGTTCCAATCAAAAAGCTTCATGAGATTCCATCTGAACTGAAAAAGCTGGGAGTGGGGAAGGGGTGTGTGTACCTGTCATCCCCAGAGGGAAGCATAAATAGGAGGATCACCGTCCAGATGGACCAGACAAAAACCAAGCAAGACCTTATCTCAAAAACAGCTAGAGGGGGCTGGGATTATGCCTCAGTGGGAGAGCGCTTGCCTCGTATGCAAGAGGCCCTGGGTTCGATTCCTCAGCACCACATAAATAGAAAAAGCCAGAAGTGGCACTGTGGCTCAAGTGGTAGAGCGCTAGCCTTGAGTTGAAGAGCTGAGGGACAGCGCCCAGGCCGAGTTCAAGCCCCATGACCAACCAAAACAAAAAACAATAGCAAAAAAAACATCTAGAGCTAAAAGAGCCAGAGAGAGGCATGGCTCAGGGATAGAGTGTCTCCATAGCAAACATGAAGCCCTGAGTTCAAATCCTAGTACTGCCAAAGCAAAGAGGGTGAGGGAAGAGCCTTGGGAGAATGAGAACCTGCCCCAGAAAGATGAAGATGGAGACTGTACAGAGAGAGGGGAGCCTGGAGGTTGAGCAGGGCAGGCTTGTGGAGGGGGTCCAAGTAGTGGTGGAGGCGCCATGTCCCCCACCCCCAAGAAATGACATCACTTGGCTCTTAGGAGGAAAGCCTGGTCACTCAGTCATTCATCACTGACTGTCACTTCCCTATTAGGGATGGCCTAATAATAGAGTCCCATTGGGACTTTTCTTTTTTATTTTTTATTGTGAAAATACTGTACAGAGGGGTTACAATTACATGGGCAAGATAATGAGTATATTTCTTATCAGGGACTTTCCTTTGATGAAGCTCTTTTTCCCAACAGGGTCCCCCAACAGGGACCAGTCAAATGCAAGAACAGAGACCATGTTTTTCCAACCCAAGGCCCAGCAGAAACATAAGGGAAGACGCAAGGCCCACAGAGGCTTTTCCAAACTCTCACAACTGTGTCTCTCACCCTCATCTGGATTTTAGTGATATCTGCACAGCCTCTCAAGCAAATGGCAACATGAAAGCTCCTCTTCCCACTGCTAGAGACTCTACAGAACCTTGTCAAGGCCAGATCTGGAAAGTTTGAAAAGATGAGTTCCAGCTGGGCTCAAGTGGATGAGACCTGTAGACCCAGGTTCAAAGCCAGCCTAGGCAGTCAAATCCAAGATACTGTTCCCTCCAATTATCCAGCAAAAAGCCAAAAGTGGAAGTGTAACTCAAGTGGTACAGCAAGAGCCTTGAACAAAACCAAACAAGAACACAGGGCCCCTGAGTTCAAGCCCCAGTATTGGCATGCATGGATGCAGGCATGTGCACAAACATACACACACACAAAGGTAGGTTCCATTCCGGGCACCAGTGGCTTACACCTATAATTCTAGTTGTAATCCTAGCTACTGAAGAGGCTAAGATCTGAGGACGGAAGACTGAAGTCAGCCCAGGCAGGAAAGTCCATGAGACTCTTACCTCCAATTAACCACCAAAAAGCTAGAAGCGGAGAGGTGGCCCAAATGGGCCTTGAGCACAAAAGCTCAGGGACAGCCCAGGCCCTGAGTTAAAGCCCCATGATTGGCATACAAAACAATGATAATAATAACAATAACAATAATAATAGAACAAAAGGAAAAAAGAAAAGAGGAAAAGCTCCATAGCAGATTCTGGCTCCGGTTTCCCATACCAGTCCACAGAACTATGGCCCTTGCTTTCAGCTCCCTCCTCCCTGCAGGACCCTGCTAGTTCTGAAAGGAGCACTGTCACGCGGTCTCTCTCCATCCTCTTGCTGTCTGGGGATGGGAATCATGGCTATAGTGAGAAGAACATAACTACAAAAGGAAGAGCCCTGTCCTGGGGTCATGGCTTGAAAGCCCAGGTAATCATGAAGTGGGCACACATTTGTTGAATGTCTACTCTGTGACTGACAATTTAAAGTCATTTTCTTTAGCTACTCAATAGAAGCCCAGACTATTACTAACCCCACTGGAGCCCTGAGGAAACTGAGAGCTGGAGGGGTCAATGACTTACCCAAGGCCCTACCCAGGACTAAAAGCTCCAGTGGGGACAGTCCTCCACCAACACTGTGTGTGGACACTTTCTCACTCTGTCCTTCTCCCTGCTCTACATGACTTTTTTTTTTTTTCCTGCCAGTCCTGGGGCTTGAACTCAGGGCCTGGACACTGTCCCTGAGCTGCGTTTGCTCAAGGCTAGCACTCTACCACTTCATCCACAGTGCTACTTCTGGCTTTTTTTTTTTCTTCTTTTTTTCTGCTTATGTGGTACTGAAGAATCAAACCCAGGGCTTCGTGCATGCTAGGCAAACATTCTACCACCAAGCCACACTCCCAGCCCTCTACATGGCTTTTTGATGTGTGTGTCCCAGTACTGGGGCTTGAACTAGGGCCTGGACATATCCCTTAGCTTTTTTTGCTCAGGACTGGCACTCTACCACATGAGCCACAACTCTGCTTGCAGCTTTTTGCTGGCTAATTGGAAATCCAGGTCTCATAGACTTTCCTGCTCAGGTTGGCTGGGAAAGGTGATTCTCGGATCTCAGTCCTCTGAGAAGCCAGGATTACAGGGGTGAGCTACAGGTGCCTGGCTCTACAGATGTTTTATACGGGGGGGGGGGGGGGGGACAAGGCTGGGACAATTGTAGAACGATCAAAAATGACAAAGCTAGGGTTGGATCTGAGAAGTCTCACATCAAAGTCCCTAAACTCCTCTTCCTTCTCTGGGCCTCAGTCTCTTCCCCTGGGATTCTCTTGGGGCAAAGGTCGGGACACCACTGGGAGGAGGTGCGATGCCCTAGGGCTAGGTTTTCTCGGCAGCCAGCTCCATGCCACGCCTGCCAGGTAGGTGTCAGTCCCGCGCCTCCCCGGTCCCGGGGCCCAGGCGCGGGGCGGCGCCCCCCCTCACCTGTACAGGTAGCCGAGCTGGAGGAGGTGCAGCAGCGCCAGGCAGCGGCCGGGGGGCTGCGGGCCGTGCAGGCCGGCGGGGTCGGCGCGCAGCCAGAGCCAGCTGAAGAGCTGCAGGGCGCCCGAGGCCAGGCCGAGCAGCGCCAGCACCAGCGCCGCCCACAGGTAGCGGCCGTGCCGCGCGTACTGACCCGCGGCCCACAGGTCGGCGCCCAGATCCAGCAGGAAGGCGGCAATGCCCAGCACGCCCAGCACCAGGTCCCGCAGGAGAGCGGCCCGGGGGGACCAGGGCATGGCCCGTCAGGTCCTCCGAGAGGCCCCAGGCTTCCCCTCCGTGCCTCGGGCCCGCCCTCGAGCCGGGGGTCGCCCGGGCGGGAAGGGGGCGGGAGCAGCCGAGGAGGGGCGGGGCAGGAAGGGGGCGGGAGCAGCCGGGAGCCACGAGGTAGGAAATGGGCGGGAGCAGCCGGGGAGGGGCGGGGCAGGAAGGAGGCGGGAGCAGCCGGGGAGGGGCGGGGCAGGAAGGGGGCGGGAGCAGCCGGGAGCCGCGAGGTAGGAAATGGGCGGGAGCAGCCGGGGAGGGGCGGGGCAGGAAGGGGGCGGGGCCGCCGGGGAGGGGCGGGGCAGGAAGGGGGCGGGAGCAGCCGGGAGCCGCGAGGTAGGAAATGGGCGGGAGCAGCCGGGGAGGGGCGGGGCAGGAAGGGGGCGGGGCCGCCGGGGAGGGGCGGGACCTGCAAGAGCCGGACTTGCCTGCCCCGCGCGGCCTCGGGAGGAGCGGAGTCGCCCCAGTGCCCGGCCCCCCACTCCAGCGATTAGGAGGCTGGGTCCTAGTCCCCAGGAGGTGGCCCTGCCACCTGCCCCTGGGAGCTCCTGATCCAGCCAACGGCGCCTCGGAGGCCCGCAGGCTTCCACGGGCCTAACTTTACTCCCAAGCCCCCGAGGCCCCTGGAGAGAATGGGCTGAAGATCAGACACCTCCGGACCAACGGTGGCTCCGAGGGGACATAACACCCAGAGCACCGGGTTTACAGACGCATCGCAAGTTCCTTTCACTACGCGGGCAGTGAGCAGCAGGCGCACACCCATGTGGGGAGGAAGGACGTTTTGTAATGGGAAATGAGTTCTTTTGCCATCATGTACGTATTAAAAGGAGTAATGCAAGAAGTACCCTAGGCATTGTGGGTAAAAAGAGGTTGGGACATCATCGCCTGCTCCAGCGGTCGCAGCCCAGCTTCGGGGAGTTAAGACCAGCTCTCAGTGGGTTGACCCGGCCTCATCTTACCAAGAGGAAGATGAGTGCCGGGCGAAGGCGCCCCAGGCCACCGCCAGGCTCACCAGCACTGCCAGCCCTGGCGCAAGGGCGGCCCCTGAGGCACGCAGGCAGGAGGTGTAGGCGGGGAAGGCCACCTGCTGCATGGCACACACGTGCTCCGTGCGGCAGCCCCCCTCGCAGGGCGCGGTGTCATAGCTGACAGAGTTGTAGACGTAGTAGCGCTGTAGCATGTCCTGGTCACTGCCGATTCGGCTCAGCGCCTCTTGCATGGAGCGAGCACTGGCATCGGGCACCTGGTAGGCCTCTGTCAGCCGGTACTCAAGCTCCCAGCTCGGGGTCGGCTGTGTGTTGGCCAGGCTCAAGTTCATGAAGTAGGTCACCATATCCTACAGCAGACACAGGAAGCCAGCCACAAGTTAGCTGCTGTCCCACACCAAATCCTGTACCTACATTTGTCTCAGATTTGAACTCAGGGCCTCACATTTGCCAGGCAGAGACTCTACCACTTGAGCTAGATTCCCTCATCACCACAGGTTCAAAGCCAGCCTAAACAGAGAAGTCTGTGAAATTCCATTGCCAACTAACCAGCAATGGGAGACTAGAGATTATGCTCAAGTGGTAGAATGCCAGTCATGAATAAGAAAGCCAAATAAGGCCAGGCGCCAATGGCTCAGGCCTGTAATCCTAGCTACTCAGGAGCCTGAGATCTGAGGATCATAGTTCAAAGCCAGCCTGGGCAGGAAAGACCATGAGACTCTCATCTCCAATGAACCACCAGAAAACCAGAAGTGGCGCTGTGACTCAAGTGGAAGAGCGCTTGTCTTGAGCTAAAGAGCTGAAGGACAGCGCCCAGGTCCAGAGTTCAAGTCACACAACCGACAAAAAAAGAAAGAAAGCCAATTAAGAGCAAGAGTACAGCCGTAGTATCCTCCTTCTTCCTTCTCTTCCTGTCACACACACCCCCATTCCCACACCAGGGTACCAGCAAACCCTGGCTACTCTGCCCCTGAAACACCTCCAGGACCAAACACTTCTCACCACCACTCTATTCTAAACCGCCATCACCTCAAAGCTAGTTTACTGCCACGCTGCACCTGTCCCTCTGCCCTAGCAGCACAGCAGATAATGGTGATTTTATACAACTGTGTCAGAATATGTCCTGCTTCTGTCCCAAACCCTCCAAATCCAGAGTCCTCCCCCACAGCGCGCATGTGCTGACCTTGTTCCACCCACTTGCTTTCCATGTGCTTTCCATGTGGTCACTCAGCCACTGGGTCCTTTGACTTGCACTTCCCTCCACCTTCCCCAGACACCCATCAGCCTAGCTCAGAACCAAGTGTCTCCTTCCCTGTCTGGGACTGTCCCTGTCCCACATAGCACACATCCCTTACTCATCACCAACCTGTCTTTCCACTCTGCTCTTTCTCCTTAACCCCTCTCTTTGTTCCACATTTGATTTTGCTTATTTGTTTAGTGTCTCTCCTGTAAGAATGGAAGGTCCAGGACTGGGAAGGTGGCTCAGTGGTAGAGCGCTTGCCTTGCATGCCTGAGGCCCTGGGTTCGATTCCTCAGCACCACATAAGCAAAAAGAAAAAAGCCGGAAGTGGCACTGTGGCTCAAGTGATAGAGTGCTAGCCTTGAGCTGAAGAGCTGAGGGACAGCGCCCAGGCCCAGAGTTCAGGCCCCACGACTGGACCCAAAAAAAAAAAAAAGAGAGAGAAAAGAAAAGGCTGAAAGTAGCGCTGTGGTTCAAGTAATAGAGTGCTAGCCTTGAATAAAATGCTCAGTGACAGTGCCTAGGTTCTGAGTTCAAGCCCCAGGACTGGCAAAAGAAAAAAAAAGGGAAAAAATGTAATTTTGACAACCACAGCACATCCTGGGAGGCAAGCAATTGCTCTGTGAGTTGGCGGTTTGAGCCTAGTCAGTGGATGGAAAGAACTAGATAAGAAATTTAAGGTCTGGGGGCTGGGAAGGTGGCTCACTGGTAGAGTGCTTGCCTTGCATGTATGAGGCCCTGGGTTCGATTCCTCAGCACCACATAAGCAGAAAAAAAAAAGGCCAGAAGTGGAGCTGTGGCTCAAATGATAGAGCACTTCCTTGAGCTGAAGAAATGAGGGACAGTGCCCAGGCCCAGAGTTCAGACCCCACAACTGGACCAAAAAAAAAAAAAAGAAATTTAAGGTCAGCTGGGCACCGGTGGCTCACACCTGTAATCCTAGCTACTCAGGAGGCTGAGATCTGAGGATTGCAGTTCAAAGCCAGCCCAGGCAGGAAAGCCCGTGAAACTCTAATCTCCAATAAACCACCAGAAAACCGAAAGTGGCGCTGGAGCTCAAGTGGTAGAGCGCTAGCCTTGAGCCAAAGAGCTGAGGGACAGCGCCCAGGCCCAGAGTTCAAGGCCCACGACTGACAAAAAAAAAGAAAAAAAGAAATTTAAGGTCAAACTCTCAGGAGCCTTGACTTGTGGTCCAAGGAGATGGGACTTTACCTGGGGGCACGGGGAAGGCACTGAAGGTTGGAGCACAGGAGAGAGGCAAGATGAGAGCAGGGCTTTCTAAAGATCCAGCCCTCTGTAGGGTGTAGCACAGGGGCCACAGCAGGGCAGGTGGAGGTAGGAGACCAAGTAGGAGGCTGTGGCAATGATGCAGGTACATGGTTTGGGGGAAGAACTGTCCGATGTGGTAACCGGTGGCTCTGAGCCTGAGCCTGAGCAAGGTGGAAGGAACGTGGCCTGGCTCCATCATCAGCTGAGAGTTCAGGAAGGGGGGGTGACACCTTTAGCTCCTTCCCTTCTCCTCTGGCCCCAGGGGACCCAGGCTCCTGACCTGCACATTTAGTGTGTCTCGGTCGTACTCGATCACCCGGATGCCTGGATTGTTGGCCCCATTGACAACTCCAGGTAACGTGGTTTTCCACGGAGTGACCCCAGGTGTGAGGAACATGACGCTCACGGGAGCACCTTTAAGGAGAAAGGTAGCAAGGCTCAGGGAGGCTGGGCATTGGAGGCCAGCAGGAGCCAGGCGCCCTCCATCTCCTACCTGCATCATCATAGAACATCCGAAAGCTGTCGGTGTGGTGGTGCCCAAAGAACTGTCCAGCTATGACGCGGTGGAACCTGCGGACTAGCTGCAGGTAGGCCACATTGAAGTCCTCCCGGAACCAGGCCTTGTTCCGTGTCTTCTCAAAGAAGCCTGGAGGCACGTGGCCAATAATGTACACCTGACAGGAAACGGGACAAAGGAGCAGAGCTCAGAGATGTCCTCCCTCCTCCCTGCTCTCAAAGCCTGGCCATGTTCCTTCCCGCAGGCTCAAATCATCTCCTCCCTCCAAACCCAGATCTAACAGCACCTCCTCCATGAAGCCTTCCTGACCCCTCAAAGACCGGGCTTGGAGAGCGCAGGTCGTTCTTGCATGGTTGTGGAGCATAAGCTGTGATCACATGATCTTGCCTTACATTCCCTGAGTCACTTGGCTAGCAGGACCAGGCACTTGGCCACATTGCAGAAGGCAGAACAGAGTGGGATTTGAAGTATGAGCTCATCTGCACACTGGTGGCTCATACCTGGTCTTTCCTGCCCAAGCTGGCTTTAAACCACAATCCTTAGCTCTCAGCCTCCTGAGTAGCTGGGATTACAGGTGTGAGCCACCATACTTGGCTAGATTTTTTTTTTTTTAAGGCAGCTGTGGGGCTTGAACTCAAAGCCTAGGCACTGTCTCTCTGAGCATTTTCACTCCAGGGTAGCATTCTAGTACTCTGAGCCACAGAACCTCTTCCAGTTTTTCTGATGGTTCATTAACTCCACGGGCTGGCTTTGAACCATGATCCTCAGATCTCAGGCTCCTGAGTAGCTAGGATTACAGGCAGGAGTCACTGGCACCTGGCGCTTTTTTTCCTCCTCACGTCTAATTGGAGATAGGCATCTCACAGACATTCCTGCCCTGGCTGGCTTCAAACCTCCATCCTCAGACCTGACCTTCCAGAGTGGCTAGGATTACAGGCATGAGCCACCGATGCCTGACTTTCATAGGGATCTTAGAAGGGAAGGAGCCACTCCCAGTGATCCTCGTGCTCCCAGTGCTCCTCTGCCTGGCCCTGTAGAACCCTGGAGGATGTGAGCAGGGGCGAGGGAGTGGATGTGTTCGTGCTGAATGGAGACTTGTCCTCAAAGTACCCAGAAAGGGAGGAGGAAGAAGCAGGCGCCCTCACCATCTCCCCAGCTTGGGATGCATTGCTCAACACCTCTTCCAGCCACTGGAACTGCAGGGCCGGGTCAGCCATGCCGGCTGTCTGTTGGTTGTTGCTGTAGTATAGATTGGTATTGAGAACCACAACTCTCCCTGCCCTGCTGAGACCCGACAGCTTCTCAGAATAGAAGGCACCTGTGATGGCACAACCAGAGAGAGCCTGAAGGTGGTCTTTGTCCTGTCCACCTCTCTCCACCTCCCCGCCAACCCCACAGCCTTCCTCCCCTTCCTTCCCACAGGAAGGCTGCCAGGCTTCCTGGGTTCAAGTCCTGGCTCCATTGCTCTTTAGCTGTGTCCTTGGAAAAGTGACTTCACTACACCATGCTATTTCCTCATCTGTATAATGGAAATAAGAATGGAATGTGTTTGTATATCCAGGCCCATGGTGAACCGCCCTCCATGCAGGAACTGGCCCAGGAACTGACCTATTTAGGTCATAGTCCGGGGTGTGTGAAGAGAAGAGTCAGGTATGCCTGGGGCTGGCTATGCCTCTAGACCATTGAGGTGTTTTTTATTTTTATTTTTGGCAGTCTTAGGGCTTGAACCCTGGACTTGGGGGTGCTGTCCTTAAGCTTTAGGGATCGAGGCTAGCACTCTATCACTTAAACCACAGCTCCACTTCTAGCTTTTTATAGTTAATTGGAGATAAGAGTCTCACAGATTTTTCTGCTAGGTCTAGCTTTGAACCAAGATCCTCAGATCTCAGAAACCTGAGTAGCTAGGATTACAGGTATGAATCAGGTCTTTAGCACCCAGCTTAGACTAGCCATTTTTTCAGAGTTTTTTGTTTTGTTTTGTTTTTTTATCATGGGACTTGAACTATGGGCCTGGGCACTGTCCCTGAGCTCTTCAGCTCAAGGTGAGCACTCTACCACTTGAGCCACAGAGCTCTGGTTTTCTGGTTTTACTTCTGGTTTTCTGGTGGTTTATTGGAGATAAGACTCTCATGAACTTTTCTGCCTGGGCTAGCTTTGAATCGCGATCCTCAGATCTCAGCCTCCTGAGTAGCTAGGCTTACAGGCATGAGCCACCGGCACTCAGTAGACTAGTAGTTGTTAAATAGGAGTATTTGACAATGTGTAGAGAAGTGTGTGTGTGTGTGTGTGTGTGTGTGTGTGTGTGTGTGTGTGTGTGTGTGTGTAGTGCATGTGGGGCCTGAGGCTAGAACTCAGGGCCTGGAAACAGTCTCTTGAGCTTTTTATTTTCCCTCAAGGTTAGCACTCTACTACTTGAGCCACAGTTCTACGTCTGGCTTTTCTGATGCTTAGTAGGAAATAAGATTCATAGATTTTTTTTTTTTTTTTTTGGATCCAGTTGTGGGGCCTGAACTCTGGGCCTGGGCGCTGTCCCTCATTTCTTTAGCTCAAGGCTAGCGCTCTACCACTTGAGCCACAGAGCCACTTCCGGCTTTTTTCTTTTTGCTTATGTTGTGCTGAGGAATTGAACCCAGGGCCTCAGGCAAGCGCTCTACCACTGAGCCACCTTCCCAGCCCCGATTCATAGATTTTCATACCCAGGCTAGCTTCAAACCACAATCCTCAGATCTCAGCCTCCTGAGTAGCTAGGCATGAGCATAAGTCACTGGTGTCTAGCTGGGATTTTTTTGTTGTTGTTGTCATCACAATAGGAAGTGTTACACTGGCATCTAATGAAAAGAGACCTGAGATGATGCAAGCTTACTATAACACATAGGGGCTCCCAGGAGAAAACAATTACCACATTGGATGATCAGTAGCAGTGAGATTCAAGCTGGCTTGAGATGAAGGCTCCTGCTTTTCCCTAGGACTGCTGCAGTCTGCTGTCACGCTGAGGACAGTGCCTGGCACACAGTAACGGCTCAATAGATACTGTTTTGGGAAGCTAGGCACTGGTGACTCATATCTGTAATCCTAGTTACTCAGGAGGCTGAGATCTGAGGATCATGGTTCCAAGCCTGCCCACACAGAAGAAGACTATGACACTCATATCCAAATAACCAGCAAAAAGTTAGAAATAGGGGCTGGGAATGTGGCTTAGTGGTAGAGTGCTTCCCTAGCATTCACGAAGCCCTGGGTTCAATTCCTCAGTACCACATAAATAGAAAAAGCCAGAAGTGGCGCTGTGGCTCAAGTGGTAGAGTGCTAGACTTGAGCAAAAGAAGTTCAGGGACAGTGCCCAGGCCCTGAGTTCAAACCTCAGGACTGGGGTTGGGGAGGGGGGCGGAGTTAGAAGTAGAGGCATGCCTCAATTGGTAGAGCACTGGCCCTTGAGCAGAGAAATCTAAGTAGGAGCCCATGGCTCCAAGTTCAAGCCCCAGTACTGGCATAACTTTACACTCACTGGTTTCTATTCCTTAACAGTGCTCAGGGTTCAGAACATAAGCCTCAGATTCTGTCCTAGATTCTGTTCTCAAGCCTGCCTTTGCCAAGTGACTGTGTCTCAGTCTGCTAATGTGTGAACTGGAAATAAATATCTGTACTGATGTTAAGGGGTTGGGAAAATGAGATCAAAATCTGACACATAGTATGTGCTCCAGTGTCAGTGATACCTTCTTTGAAGAGAGCAATGGATTCATTACTAAGCCACGGTCGCCATAGTTCTGCTACTTGATTGTAGATATTGTTGCTCCCTGCTGGGAACTGGTTTTTAGGGTGAAAGTCGTGGTTTCCCAAAGCAGCATAGACTTTAGTGTCTGGGAAGAAAAGAAGAAATATTCAGAAACGATTCCAAAGCACTTGGTAGGTGTCACGTTCTCTTGCAGCCGACCAGCACAGCCAGCGGGGAAGAGCAATAAATCAGATGAGGGAAATGCAGTAAGTACAAAACCACATCTGATTGCATCTGTCTGGCTGAGCTTTGCCTGGGGAGGAAGAGCAGTGAGTTGCCTGCTCTGGCCCCTAACCCCTTTCCTAGCAAGAAATTTCCTGGTCAGAGAGGAGACCTCAGCTTGTGATAAGGAAACTAGGGATTTGTTGGCATTTCAGCCATTTGGTAATTCAGGGTCCTCTACTTTTGTCAATTGCACATGCATCTTCTGGACTGGGAAGGTGACTTAGTGGTAGAGTGCTTGCCTAGCATGCATGAGGCTCTGGGTTCAATTCCTCAGTCCCACATAAACAGAAAAGGCCAGAAGTGGCACTGTGGCTCAAGTGGTAGAATGCTAGCCTTGAGCAAGAAAGCTCAGGTACAGCACCCAGGCCCTGAGTTCAAGCCCCTGGACTGGCAAAACAACAATAACAAAAAGAAAAACAACAACAAAAATAGATCCATCTTCTGGGGTTGGTGTGTCTGGCTCATTCTTGAGTTTCATTCTTTTTTTTTTTTTTGGCAGGGGGGTCATGGGGCTTGAACTCTGGGCCTGTGCACTATCCCTCAGCTCTTCAGCTCAAGCCTTTTGCTCTACCACTTGAGCCACAGTGCCACTTCTAGCTTTTTCTGCTTATGTGGGTGCTGAGGAATCGAACCCAGGTCCTCATGCATGCAAGGCAAGCAGTCTACCACTGAGCCACCTTCCCAGCCCCAGTTTTATTCATGCCTATAGCCAGTAAATATTGTCTACTGAACACCTACTGTGTGCCAGTGCATAGAGCTTGGAACCAGGTTTGCAGGCCCAGTTCCAGGGGTGTGGCAGTATACTAGGTTGTCAGGTAGTGGGTGATCAGAGGTAAGGGCTGTCACAAGAAGGGAAGGGCTGTTTCCTGTGGAGTATGGGTATCAGGGGAGGGCTCCCTGAGGAAGCAGCCTGTGTCTGAGACCACAAAGTACAGGGGAACCCAGCCGACTGCCTCTTTGTGAACCACTTCATTCCTGCTTTCATTTTAGCCTCTGTGTCTGGCAGGTAGTAGATGGTCAATAAATAATGGACAATAAACAAAAATATCTTGCCAACAAAGATTACATGCCTGTAATCCTAGCTACTCAGGAGACTGAGCTCTAGAGGATCATGGTTGAAGCCAGCCAGGGCAGAAAAGTCTATAAGACTCTCCAAAATAACCATCAAAAAAAACATGGCAGGGCTGGGAAGGTGGCTCAGTGGTAGAGCACTTGCCTTGATGCCTGTGGCCCTGGGTTCGATTCCTCAGCACCACATAAGCAAAAAGAAAAAAAAAGCCAGAAGTGGCGCTGTGGCTCAAGTGGTAGAGCGCTAGCCTTGAGCTGAAGAGCTGAGGGACAGCGCCCACACCCAGAGTTCAGGCCCCACGACCGCACCCAAAATACAAAAAAAACAAAAACAAAAAACATGGCTAAGCCAGGTGCTGGTGGCTCGGCTGTAATCCAAGCTACTCAGGAGGCTGAGATCTGAGAATTGCAGTTCAAAGCTAGAACGGGCAGAAGGTCCATGAGACTCATATTTCCAATTAACCGTCAGAAAGCCAGAAGTGGAGCTGTGGCTCAAAGTGCTAGCACTAATCTTGAGAGAAAAAGAACTCAGGGATACCACCCAGACCTTGAGTTCATGCCCTGTGACTGACCAAAAAAAGCATGGCTGGAGACATGGATCAAATGGTAGTACTAGTGAAGCAAGCAGGCCAAACCAGTACTACGCTGTGATGTTACAGCCTGGTATGCAAGGGAAAGGAGGGAAGGGGAGGGGAGGGGAAAGGAGGGGAGCAGAGTGGCACATCCCAGAGAGTAACTGAACCAGTATGGAAGGCTGGAGGCTGGAGGCTGGAGCCAAGTTTCCAGCAGAGAATTCGTTCTAACAAGCCCTCTGTGTTGTACAAACTACAAGAACTGGGAATTTTGCAATCTCTACCTAAGTGGGAAAGCACTGTGTATTATGTATTTGTCCATTTTTGTCTTAGCAGTACATAAAACAATGATACATCTTACAGCCAATGGCATCTTGGCTATTGGGAAATTCTTGGCTATTGGGAAATAAATGTGTCAACATGTCACAGACTACAAAACCTTATCATTCACATGTATGTGTACAGTCATGGTGAATAAAGCATTTTCCTACCGACTATGTCACTTTAATTCCAGAAACCCTGTGTAGAGCAGAGGAAAGAAGCTCCAAGCTAGATCTGGGTTTGAATCCCTCCCTAGGAAGTGACTGTCTGGGAGCTGTAGTTCCTCATCTTTTTCTTTGGTCTTGGGGTCTTGAACTCTGGGCCTGGCCACTGTCCCTGAGCTCTTCAGCTCAAGGTGAGCACTCTACCACTTGAGCCACAGCACCACTCCCAGTTTTCTGGTGGCTAATTCGAGATAAGAGTCTCACGGATTTTCCTGCCTGGGCTGGCTTTGAACCAAGATCCTCAGATCTCAGCCTCCTGAGTAGCTAGGATTATAAAGTGTGAGCCATTGTGGCCTGGCTCCTTGTCTATACTTTGTAGGTGATAATAAGGATGAGCACGAGGCCTGGCGCCCTCTGCTGGAGAAAGAAGGAATGAGACTAAGTGGGTGGGACATGCTGGCAGAGTTGGTGCTTCAGGGAGCCTCCTGGAATCCTTTTCATACATTGATTTCCATTGCAGGTGGGGTGGTAGGGACCGTGGGTAAGAACCAAGCTCAAACCAGGAGTCAGTATTCTACATTGGCCACCTGACCTAAACCACCTAACTGGTTACAGCTCGTCTGTAATTTTCTTTCTTTCTTTCTTTTTCAAATAAAATTTTTTATTGTGAAAATACCATACAGAGGGGTGACAATTACATGAGCAATGTAATGAGTACATTTCTTATCAAGCATTTCATTGTTGCCTCCTCCTTTGTTTTTCTCCTACCATCCCTTCCCTTCCATCTCCACAACTACACTCTCCCCCTCTCTCTCCCCTGTAATTTTCTTTTTTTCTTTTTTTTTTGAGTCCGGTCATAGGGCCTGAACTCTGGGCCTGGGTGCTGTCCCTCAGCTCTTCAGCTCAAGGCTAGCGCTCTACCACTTGAGCCACAGCGCCACTTCCGGCTTTTTTCTTTTTGCTTATGTGTTGCTGGGGAATTGAACCCAGGGCCTCATGCATGCAAGGCAAGCGCTCTACCACTGAGCCACCTTCCCAGCCCCTCCCCTGTAATTTTCATGACAAAGAATGAACTTAAGAGCTGTGCCCACGACACAGCACTTTATATTTACAGTTATTCATGTTGCTATTATTTTTACTGCTATTACTTCACAACTATGGTCTTTTAACAGATATACTAGAACTGAAGTGTGTGTGGGGGCTGATGGGAGCTCTTTCGGTCCCCGGCTGGCATCTCCCACTTTGTGTTTGGCCCAGCCCACTTAAAACTATATTCAGCCAGGCACTGGTGGCTCATAGTTAAAATCCTAGGTACTCTGGAGGCTGAGATCTGAGGATTGAGTTCAAAACCAGCTGGGGCAGGAAAGTCCAAGACACTCCAATTAATCAAATAAAGCACCAAGTAGAACAGTGGCCCAAGTGGTAAAACGCCAGCCTTGAGCATAGAAGCTCAGGAACAGTGCCCAGGCCCTGAGTCCAAGCCCCAGGACCAGCACACACATACACAAAAGACCATCAGATGGACACAACCGTCCTCTCCATGTTGTCTCCCACAGAACAGCACCCTCCTGAGCCCTGCCCAGAGGCCCTGGCAGCCTCGGCTGGAAGGCAGAATCTCCCAGAGGCCCTGGCAGTCAGGATGGTTTGAGGACAGCTTGTGCTAAACCAGTACACAAGCACTATGTGTGCACCTCTGTGCATCTGGGGACGCCTGGGTGTATTGACAGACTCTGTGGGAAAGGTGGTAAACAGAAGACATTGAAACAGCATTGCCTCTGGTGGAAGTCTAGTGTCCACAGGCCTGTGAGCTGTTGTGGCCCCAAGGGGGTCGTCAGAAAAGTAAGGAACCAGCCGGGCACCAGTGGTTTATGTTTAATCCTAGCTACTCAGGAAGCTGAGATCTAAGGATCGAGGTTCAAAGCCAGCCCGGGCAGGAAAGTTCATGAGACTCATTGCCAATAAACCATGAGAAAACTGGCAATGGCACTGTGACCAAAGTGGTAGAGTGCTTGCCTTGAGCTGAAGAGCTCAAGACAGCGCCCAGGCCCAGAGTTCAAGCCCCATGACCAACAAAACAAAAAGAAAAGGAATCAGCTGTACCACATCTGAGACCTGGGTAGCAGCCATCCTTGTCAATGGATGGAGTGTGGACTCCAGTCACCCTGCTGGCACAAGCCAGGCCCACGAGTTCAGGGACAGGTGCAGACTTACCCGGAAACACCTCCCTGATGAGGGCAGTCAGGAGCTGCACAATCCTCAGCACCGCCTCCTCTCCCAGGCTCTCGTTGGGCACATGAGGTGTGTCATCCCTGCAAAACACCACCATGCCCATTGGAATGGGCAAGGCAGGAAGGGACAGCTCCGCAGAGAGGCGCTGGAGACCTGGGCCTCGCAAGCCCACATGTGTGGGCATGGAGAGACTGGACTGGAGTCAGACCAGAGAGTTCAAACCCAGCTTCTGCCAACTATCTGCCTGCTGTGGGGCTCCTTGACTAAGTCTCTATACACTCATCTGTAAAACAGGAAATAATATGTACCTACAGCTAGAGAATTTGTAAAACGTCCTATAAAGGAGAAAAAAAATATATATGTATATATATTTATATATATACATATATTATACATATTATATATACATATTTATATATGTATATAATATAGTAATAGTAATCATTATTAATATTATTGCTTTTTCTTTCAGGTGGTAGTAGGGGGGTGGTTTTTTGGAGGGTTTTTTTTTGGTTGTTGGTGGTTGTGGGGCTTGAACTCTGGGCCTGGGCACTGTCCCTGAGCTCTTCAGCTCAAGGCAGGTGTTCTACCACTTGAGCCACAGTGCTACTTTTAGTTTTTCTGGTGGTTAATTGGAGATAAGAGTCTCATGGAAGGGGCTGGGAAGGTGGCTCAGTGGTAGAGCACTTGCCTTGCATGCTCGAGGCCCTGGGTTCGATTCCTCAGCACCACATAAGAAAAAAGCCGGAAGTGGCGCTGTGGCTCAAGTGGTAGAGTACTAGCCTTGAGCTGAAGAGCTGAGGGACAGCGCCCAGGCCCAGAGTTCAGGCCCCACGACCGGACCCAAAAAAAAAAAACGAGTCTCATGGAAACCGGGCATTGGTGGCTCCTGTAATCCTAGCTACTCAGGAGGCTGAGATCTGAGGATTATGGTTCAAAGCCAGACCAGGCAGGAAAGTCCGTGAAACTCTTATCTCAAATAAACCACCAGAAAACCAGAACTGGCGCTGTAGCTCAAGTGGTAGAGTGCTAGCTTTAAGCTGAAGAGCTGAGGGACAGCGCTCAGGCGCAGAGTTCAAGCCCTATGACCGACAAAAAAAAAAAAAAAAAGTCCGGACATTCCTGCCCGGGCTAGCTTTGAACAGCAATCCTCAGATCTCAGCCTCCTGAGTAGCTAGGATTACAGGCATGTAATCCTAGCCACCAACACCTGGCTTCTGTGAAACTCTTATCTCCAACTAACTGCAAAAAGCGAGAAGTGAAGTTGTAGTTCAAGTGTCAGAATTTTAACCTTGAGGGGGCTGGGAAGGTGGATCAGTGGTAGAGTGCTTGCCTTGTATGCATGAGGCTCTGGGTTCAACTCCTCAGTACCACATAAGCAGAAAAAGCCAGAAGTGGCGCAGTGGCTGAAGTAGTAGAACGCTAACCTTGAACTGAAGAGCTGAGGGACAGCACCCAGGCCCAGAGTTCAGGCCCCATAACCAGCAAAAAAAAAAAATTTAACCTTGAGCTTTTGAGCAAAAAGCTTAAGGACAGCACCACGTGTTCAAGGCCTACAATGGGCATGTGTGTGGGTATGTATGAGCGTACGATGGCATAACTTTTTTTTTCCTTGATGGTATGGTGAATTAAACTCAAAGGCCTATACTTGCTAGATATGAGTATTACCACTTGAGCCAGGCCACCAGCCCTGTGTGTGTCTGTGTGTGTACCAGTACTGGGGCTTAAACACAGGGCTTGCCCTCTCACTAGACTTTTATACTTAAAGCTAGTTCTCAAGCACTTGAACCATAGCTTTATTTCTGGCTTTTGGGGTTAACTGGGGATAAGAGTCTCATGGACTATTCTGCCTGGGCTGGTTTCAAACTGCAATTCTCAGATCTCAGCCTCTTAAGTAGCTAAGATAATAGATATGAGCCATTGGCACTTGACTTCCATTTTTTTTTCTTTGTTAGTTATGAACTGGGTGCTGGGGCGCTATTCCTACAAAGCCAGCATTCTACCACTTGAGCCACAGTGCCACTTCCATTTTTTTGGTGGTTCAAACTAGGATTATAGGCATGAGCCACCAGCAGCTGGTGTGCCTTTAATTTTTATTTTAATTTTTTAAATGAGTGGTTTACTTTCAAGATGATACAGAATGCAAGAGTAGAACAAATAGCAGACTCTGGCAGGAACCTAGGCTGGATTTACTTGATATTTACAGCTGAGGTAGCAATGGCTGACACAATGGCTGACAAACTAGAGACTGAGCCACTGTAGGATTTTTTTTTAAAGGTTGTTCTTAATGTTCAGAGTCCTAGACAAAACTTTATTCTACCTATAGGTGGCAGAAATGTTACGACAGGAAATCCAGATGTTGAGTGGGAATGGAATCAAGGGTCACCATCATCTCAGGGACAAGGAACAGCTTACTTTTTGCCAGACTTCTTTTTTTTTTTTTTTTGTCGGTCGTGGCTTGAACTCTGGGCCTGGGCGCTGTCCCTCAGCTCTTCAGCTCAAGGCGAGCGCTCTACCACTTGAGCTACAGCGCCACTTCCAGTTTTCTGGTGGTTTATTGGAGATAGGAGTCTCACGGTCTTTCCTGCCTGGGCTGTTTGCCAGACTTCTTAATTCCACCTGTGGCGAGGGGCCCCTTCCCCGCGGCCTTTGCTTTCAGTTCCTCGAGTTTCTTCTGCTCCTCTGTCTGTTTCTGCTTGAAGGCCTTCTCTTCTTCATCCATCTCCTTGGCCTGCTTCTTGGGCTGCTTCAGGGGCTTCTTTTTGCCACCTTCGTGGTCGAACATGATACCAGCAGAGCCTTCGCCCAGACCCTCTTTATTTTTAACTTGGTAAAGAAGCTAATGTGCGTGCGTGCGTGCGTGCGTGCGTGCGTGCGTGCGTGCGTGCGTGCGTGCGTGTGTGTGTGTGTGTGTGTGTACTGGTTCTGGGTCTTGTCCTTGAGCTCTTTTGCTCTAGGCTAACACTCTTCCACTTGAGCCACAGCTCCACTTCCAGCTTTTTTGTTGGACATAAACTATTTAGTTCATGGTTTTGAAGGCTAGAAGTCGAAGGCACATGGTATGGTTTCTGGTGAGGGCCCTCTTGGTTGAAGCACATCATAGTAGAAGTGTGCACATATCTCTCTAGTATTATTATTATTGTTGTTATTATTTGGGAAAGGAAGCTCCAGTCTCATCTGCACCCCAGGGAGCTCAGCCAGGGCCGTCTAGGGCCCTCATGGAATCAATCATCATCACTTTCCTTAGTAGTTAGTCTTTCCCCTCCCCCCATGGCCCTTGGAGTGCTATTCCTGGTGGCTCCCTAGTCTGAGCACCTTCCAGTCTTCCTCATCAGATCCTTTGGCTCACAACTTCCTGCTGCACAGGTCAAAATCTCTGACCCAATGGCCAAAGACTTGTCTCTATTACCTTTTTTCTTTGGGTCATGGGGCTTGAACTCAGGGCCTGACTGTGGTCTCTGAGCTTTTTTTGCTCAAGGATAGTCCTCTACCACTTTGAGCCACAGTGATACATCTACTTCCAGTTTTCGGGTGGTTAATTGGAACTAAGAGTCTCATGGACTTTCCTGCCTGGGCTTTGAACTGCGATGCTCAGACCTCAGCCTCCTGAGTAGCTAGGATTGCAACAGGCATGCACCACCAGCACCTGGTCTCTATGGCCTTCTTGAAGGCAAGTCTGCACCTCTGCATCCTCTAACCCAGTGGTAGCCTGTGACGGGAGGAAGCAAGTACTTGGGAAAGGTAAAGGTCCCCAGTATCCTTGGAGAAGCAGAAACTGAGTCTCTGAGGCCAGGCAGTGCTAGCAGCACCAAACCATGAATACTCTTTAGGGCTATTGTGCAGCCCAGGAGTGGCTAGCAGCTGTCCAGAGGGACACTGAGTGCACGCTGGACCATGTTGCTTCTGGTTCCTTCTTCCCTGCCTGCATTTAGACCTCTCAGGCTGGGCAAGTGGCTCAGGGTCCATTCCCAGCTTAATTAAACCTTCAAGCCCTCTGCTCGCTCACATCCCCAGCATCCCTGGCCATGGCTGCTGCAGCCAGTAGACACAGGTCACAGGCCATCTTGGAGACTCACCAGGGATGCCTGGACAAGTGACAAAGGGCCGATGTGAGAGTCGGGAGACACATGAGTTACAGCCTGGCTGGTGCATGGCACAGCAGGTCACCAGGGAAGAAGGACTTCAGTAAGGGCTGCTCTTACCCCGTCCAGAGAATGAAGTCTGGCTTCGGCTCAATCTCCTTCATGGCATAGATGGAGGAGTTGATGAGGGTCCAGGGAGAGTCACAGAGATAATCACCCCAGGGCCCCGCACTGGGCACAGGCTGGGAGCCGGCTGATGGGCACACCTGGAGCGGATCTTTGGTCACTGTGTAGTTGGGGTCCAGGTGTAAGTCAGAGATGTGCCAGAACTTCCCTGGAGGGAAAAGAAACAGTCAGTGCTGGTGCCCCTCAGCCTGCATGAGGAGTGGATCTGGAGGATCCTGGGCTGGGAACGAGGCATTGTCCAGGGAAAACCAAGACCTTTGGCTATGCCCTTTCTATTGCCCAGGACAGCTCCCCAGCAGCAGCACGAGGCATGGAGCCTCAGGAGTCTCAAGACTCTTTGAGTCTTGATGTTCTTGGTTTCAAGCAAAGACAAGAGACCTGTAGAGGTGAATCACTTCTTTAGATCCATACGAGTTGTGTGAACTACATCACTCCCTGAGCCCATCTCTAAAGCCAGACTCTATCATACACTAGTGAAATATAGGAAAATCTGATCTGAAGGGCAGATGCTGTGTCTCACATCTGTAATCAACGCTACTTGTGGGAGGGAGAGGAGTAAATTGTGAGGATTAGCTGAGTGTTCGTGGTTCAGCACTGCAATCCTAGCTACTCAGGGGGCTAAGATCTGAGGTTCGTGGTTCAAAGCCAGCCGGGCAGGGAAGGTCCAATAAACTACTTAAAAAGGATGGAAGTAGGGCTGGGAAGGTGGCTCAGTGGTAGAGCATTCGCCTTGTAAGCACGAGGCCCTGGGTTCAAGTCCTCAGCATCACATAAGCAAAAAGAAAAAAGCCAGAAGTGGTTCTGTGGCTCAAGTGGTAAAGCGCTAGCCTTGAGCTGAAGAGCTGAGGGACAGCGCCCAGGCCCATAGTTCAGGCCCCACGACCAGACCAAAAAAAAAAAAAAGATGGAAGTAGGGGCTGGGAAGGTGGCTCAGTGGTAGAGCACTTGCCTTGCATGCATGAGGCCCTGGGTTCGATTCCTCAGTACCACATAAGCAGAAAAAAAAGCTGGAAGTGGCATTGTGGCTCAAGTGGTAGAGCACTAGCCTTGAGCTGAAGAGCTGAGGGACAGTGCCCAGGCACTGAGTTCAAGCCCCAGGACTGGCAAAAAAAAAAAAAAGAAGAAGAAGAAGCATAAATAGAAAGATCACAGTCCCAGTCTGGTCCAGATAAAAAATGTAAGACCCTAACTGAAAAATAGCCTAACACAGAAAGGGCTGAAATATAGCTGAGCCATTGAGTTCAAGTACAAGGTACTAAGTTCAAACTCCAGTATCACCAAAACTAAAATCTGACTTTGAACCATGGTTGGGAGGCTGAGGCAGGAGGATCAAAATTCAAGGCCATCCTGGACTGGACTGTAGAGCAAAATCCAGCATAGTAAGGCTAGCCAGGGAAGACTTGGGATCTGAAAAACATGTACAGGTGGGCTGGGAAGGTGGCTCAGTGGTAGAGCGCTTGCCTTGCATGCATGAGGCCCTGGGTTCGATTCCTCAGCACCACATAAGCAGAAAAAAAGCCAGAAGAAGCGCTGTTACTTAAGTCTACGGCACTAGCCTTGAGCTGAAGAGCTGAGGGTCAGAGCCCAGGCCCAGAGTTCAGCCCCCATGACCCACTAAATAAATGAATAAATAAATTTACCTCAGCTTTAAAAGTATAGATGTGCAAACATTCCAGCAAGCTTGGAGGAAAAGAGAAAAGTTAGCACCTATAACCCCCACCATTCCAAGAAGACATGTGGAGGGACATAGATCTCACAGCAGCAGACAAAGGCCACTTCCCAGCCATGGTCTCGTGTTCATCCTCAAAATGGGCATCATGACCATAGTACCTGTTTTACAGGGACTACCAAATCAAATGAAGCCAGGCTGGTAGAGCCTGCCTCTAGTCCCAGCAACTCAAGAAGCTATGGCCAGAGGACATTTCAGTCCAGAAATTCAAAGCCAGCCTGGGCAACACAGGAGAGCCTAAATCTAAACATGAAATTAAATTAAATTTAAAAAATTAAATTACTGGGGCTGGAAAGATGGCTCAGTGGTAGAGCACTTGCCTTGCATGCCTGAGGCCCTGGGTTCCATTCCTCAGCACCACATAAGCAAAATGAAAAAAAGCCGGAAGTGGGCTGGGAAGGTGGCCCAGTGGTAGAGAGCTTGCCTTGCATGCCTGAGGCCCTGGATTCGATTCCTCAGCACCACATAAGCAAAAAGAAAAAAGCCGGAAGTGGCACTGTGGCTCAAGTGGTAGAGCGCTAGTCTTGAGCTGAAGAGCTGAGGGACAGTGCCCAGACCCAGAGTTCAAGCCCATGACCGGACCCAAAAAAAAAAAAAGCCGGAAGTGGCGCTGTGGCTCAAGTGGTAGAGCGCTAGCCTTGAGCTGAAGAGCTTAGGGACAGAGCCCAGGCCCAGACTTCAGGCCCCACAACCGGACCCCCCCCAAAAAAAAATTACTCTGTGTGTGTGTGTGTGTGTGTGTGTGTGTGTGTGTGTGTCTGTTAGTATTTGACCTTGAACTCAAGGTATCACACTCTGGCTTGCGTTTCTGTTCAAGGCTGGTACTCTACCACTTGAGCCACATCTCTAACAAGTGGAGGGCAGAGGCAACCGAGAAAGCCACTTCCTTATACACCTGTCCCAATTAGACACCACCTTTCCCAATCATCCTTTGGGGGCACTAGCCCAAAACTGCTCAAACTCGCAAAACAAGTTATGGGCTAAAAGTTCCTGCTGACCCCGGCCATATAAACCCTGCTACAACCAGACTCTGCACAACCTCTCTGATCCAGACCAGGGAGTTCGCCGGGAAATATACCCCAATAAACTTTTCTTTCTTCACCTTTACCTCCTTCTGCGTGCTCTTTCCTGGCCTAAAACCTTACAACCTCCACTTTCACTTTTTTTTTTTTTTGGATCCAGTCGTGGGGCCTGAACTCAGTGCCTGGGCGCTGTCCCTCAGCTCTTCAGCTCAAGGCTAGTGCTCTACCACTTGAGCCACAGCGCCACTTCCAGCTTTTTTCTTATGTGGGCTGAGGAATCGAACCCAGGGCCTTGAGCATGCAAGGCAAGCGCTCTACCACTGAGCCACCTTCCCAGCCCTCCACTTTCTTTTGTGTGTATGTGTGAGAACGGGGGTTGTGCTGGTCCTGGGGCTTAAATTCAGGGCCTGGGCACTATTCCTTAGTTTTTTCACTCAAGGCTAGCATTGTATCACTTGAGCCACGGCCCCATTTCTGGCTATTTGGTGGCTAACTGGAAATTAGAATCTCTCAGATTTGTCTCCTTGGGCTGGCTTTGAACCCTGATCCCCAGATCTCAGCCTCCACAGCAGTTAGGATTACAGGCATGAGCCACCGGCACCTAGCAGTGAGCATTCTGTTATAAACAGAATATAGTTGAACAGCTGGGGATCATTTCCTGCCTCAGTACATAGCTGTTTCCCTGATGCTTTATTTTCCTATACACAATGGAGATGAGATAAGGGATGATAACTACTGGCAGTATCTGGCACATTCTAAGTGTTCTTTTTCTTGCTCCTCATTTTGTGTATTGTCTAGCTATATCTTATTCAGATATAGCTCTTTTTGTTTTTAAACTGGGGATCAGATCCCTAGTACTTGCTAGGCAAGTGCTTTGCCACTGAGCTACATCCCAGCCCCAGTATAGTTTTCTTATTAGCTATGTTTCAGGATTCAAATGATATTTCATTATTCAAATGTTATTTCAATTAACAAATGCTATGACAACCCTGGCCCAGTGTGGCCCCTACTTAAACTCTAGGAAAGACTCACGCAGCCTGCCTAAGCTGTTCCCTCTGTCTCTGCGGCTCCCTCTGGGAGCAGCTCCAGCTCCAACCTGAGTTCACAGGACAAAACAAAGATACCTCCGGTGTTCCTGGGGCCCTACCTGTTTCAGCCGTGGTGACTCCCCAGTGGGCCAGAAAAATCAGCCATGGGAACAGCCTCATCCTGGGCTCCCAGATGCCACGGGTTCCCCAGAGGTGTTTACAGCAGGCCTCTCTGTATCTGTAGCTGGCCACGTGTCTGAGAACTTCCCCTCTGCTCCCGGCTCCGGATTGTCTAGGGCTTCTGGCATCTCTTGCTTTTCCTCTTTTGCCCAGCAGGGTGTGACCTGGGCCGGGCCCAGATTAGGTGCCAGTCAGCACTAGAGGGAGGTCTTTGCCCTCTTTGATAGAAGCCACACCTGTCTAGCCAGATGCTGTGGGTTAGGAAAATAAGACATCTCTGTTTTGTTTTTGTTAGCCCATAGCTTAGCATGCTCCTTTCCTAGGCAACACTAGGCCCATGTAGTAAAGGCAGTAAATAATCAACCCCCTTTCCCTTGGGATGGCACTCCTCTGGGGCAGCTATCACCATAGAAGGCAGCAAGAGCCCCTTAGAGTGACCTTCAGGTCTGGGCAGCTGCAGAACCCCTTATCATCTACTACTTGGGCAGCACCCATAAATGCTAGTCCACCATGATGAAGCTCTGATCCTCACGTCCACACCAGGGTCTCCACCTCCTAAACCTCTTAGATTATATAGGTCACCTCAGACAATAGCCCATACTTCTCTCTTGTGAGAAGAGGGCTTGGCCGTCCCTTTACTGGCAATAAAAAACTTTTCTTTGTGTTTTGTGTCTAACAGTTTTGTTTTGTTTTTGTTTGCCAGTCCTGGGCCCAGAATTCAGGACCTGGGCACTGTCCCTGAGCATCTTTTGCTCAAGGCTAGCCCTCTACCACTTGAGCCACAGTGCCACTTCTGACCTTTTCTGTTTATGTGGTACTGAGGACTTGAACCCAGGGCTTTGTGCATAGTTGGCAAGTACTCTACCATCAAGCCACATTCCCAGCCTCCCAAAAAAACTGTTGTACTTGTGCTGGTTCTGGGGCTTTAACTCAAGGCCTGAGCACTGTACTTGAGCTTTTTTTTGCTCAAGTCTGGCGCTCTACCACTTGAACCACAGCTCCTCCACTAATGGCATTTTTTTGGTGCTTAATTCCCCTGTGAGATCTTTTATTTTTTGCTGTAACAGAGCCACACCTCCAGGTATTTTTGCCTTTAGTTTTTTTTTTGTTGTTGTTGTTTTTGCCAGTAGTGGGGCTTTGCCTTTAGTTTTTTTTTTGTTGTTGTTGTTTTTGCCAGTAGTGGGGCCTGAACTCTGGGCCTAGGCACTGTGCCCCAGCTTTGCAGCTCAAGGCTAGCACTATATAAATTGAGCCACAGCACCACTTCTGGCTTTTTCTGCTTATGTGGTACTGAGGAATTGAATCTAGGGCCTCATGCATGCAAGGCAAGCACTCTACCACTGAGCCACCTTCCCAGCCCCTAGTATATATATTTTTTTTTTTGGGGGGGGGGGTCCAGTCATGGGGCCTGAACTCTGGGCCTGGGCACTGTCACTCAGTTCTTCAGCTTAAGGTTAGCGCTCTATCACTTGAGCCACAGCGCCACTCCCAGCTATTTGTTTTTGCTTATGAGGTGCTGAGGAATCGAACCCAGGGCCTCAGGCATGCAAGGCAAGAGCTCTACCACTGAGCCACCTTCCCAGCCCCCCCTAGTTATTTTTTTTTAAATCAAGTCTTCCAGTTTTGGAATCAGGTTGGTCAAAACCAGCAATCTCCATGTACACCTCCCACAAATCTGGAATGAGGATACCAGACCCAGTTTATGGATTGAGATGGGATCTCACTAATTTTTCCCCAGGCCTCTGGAATTACAGGCATGCATGATATGATTGGCCAAGAGTCTAATCCTTTAGAGATATTTTGGTCAAATGACACAACCTCTGTTATTTGCTTTAAAATAATGGAATAGAACTGGAGGCCATTTTGTGAAACCAGCAACTATAAGCCCCAGGGAACTCACTAAACTTCAGTCACTGAGCCGGGTGCTGGTGGCTCACGCCTGTAATCCTAGCTACTCAGGAGGCTGAGATCTGAGGATCGCAGTTCAAAGCCAGCCCGGGCAGGAAAGACCATGAGACTCCTATCTCCAATAAACCACCAGAAAACCGGAAGTGGCGCTGTAGCTCAAATGGTAGAGCGCTCGCCTTGAGCTGAAGAGCTGAGGGACAGCGCCCAGGCCCAGAGTTCAAGCCCCACGACCAACAAAACAAAACACAAAAACAAACAAACAAACAATAAGCAGAAAGTTTGGCTGTACCTCAAGTGGGAGAGTGCCAGCCAGCCTTGAATGAAAAAGATTAGCTAGGTTCTGAGGTCAAGCCTAATATCAGCACCAAGCAGGGGCAGGGGGATGGAAAGCTGGGCACCCTTGGTTCAAGCTTGTAATCCTAGCTACACAGGAGGCTGCTGTGTGGTAGAGTGCTAGACTTGAGCAACAAAGCTCAGGGATAGTGCCCAGGCCTGGAATTCAAGCCCCAGGAAAGAAGAAAGACAGAAAGGAAGGACAGAAGGAAGGAAGGGAGGGAGGGAGAGAGGGAGGGAGGGAGGGAGGGAGGAAATGAAGGAAGGAGGTCAGGTCTGGCTGGTGCCATATTGGCCACGTGGTGGATGATAGGGTCTGGCATCTTGTCTTCATGCTGGGGGAAGGAAATGCCCCTGATATCACCTGCCTCCCAGGTGATGGGTGTGCCCGGATCCCTGGAGACCAAGGTGGAAACTTGGCTGATAAGTTACTGAATCTGTCAGTCCAGTGCCTGGGACTGGGAATTTCCTGAAGATCTGCCCTCTGCGCTGACCTATTTAGGCCCAGACCAGCTTACCAGCCAAGACTCCATGCCACCTGTCTCCCGGCTCATCTCCAGTCATCATGGCATCCCAATTCAGCTCTGAATTGGCTTGTTGGTATTTTGTTATTTTTTTCCTCTTTAGCATGTTTCCTAGCTGTGTTATGTGTATTTGAGTGCTGCAGGCCTTTGTAACAACTGGCGGCCTGCAGCCTGTTAACTGTATAATAAAGACTCCAATATTCTATATTTTAAAATGTGACTTCTGGGATGATTCACCTTACAATAGAAGGAAGGAAGGAAGAAGGAAGGAAATTATTTTCTTAAAAAAAGAGAAATTAGGGCTAGGAAGGTGGCTCAGTGGTAGAGCGCTTGCCTTGCATGCCTGAGGCCCTGGGTTCGATTCCTCAGCACCACATAAGCAAAAAGAAAAAAGCCGGAAGTGGCGCTGTGGCTCAAGTGGTAGAGCGCTAGCCTTGAGATGAAGAGCTGAGGGACAGCGCCCAGGCCCAGAGTTCAGGCCCCACGACCGGACCCAAAAAAAAAAAAAAAAAAAAAGAAATTATTATTATTGCCTCCCTCAGCCCGGGAGACAATCAGACACAGCCAGGAGTCAAGTCAAGCAGGAAGAAACTCATTTATTTTTTATTTTTTTTGGTCCGGTCGTGGGGCCTGAACTCTGGGCCTGGGCACTGTCCCTCAGCTCTTCAGCTCAAGGCAAGCGCTCTACCACTGAGCCACCTTCCCAGCCTAGAAACTCATTTATTAACACAGAGCAGCGCTTTTTAAAGCAAAAAAGAGCGGGTGGCATGGCAGGGGAGGAAGAGGAAGCAATCACTGTCAAGGTCATACCTTATCAGACACCTAAGCTTTCATGGGCTGGTTACTCACTGAACGTAAGGTGAATTGGGCTCTCACGGACTTTCCTGCCCGGGCTGGCTTTGAACTGTGATCCTCAGATCTCAGGCTCCTGAGTAGCTAGGATTACAGGCGTGAGCCACCGGCGCCTGACTCAGTGCCTGCAGTTTTTGAAAAAGGAAATAAGACCTTTACGGTGATGCCATGCTGAGGTGGGAGGAAATGCTGTCTCAAAAAAACAAAAGGAAACCGGGCGCTGGTGGCTCACGCCTGTAATCCTAGCTACTCAGGAGGCTGAGATCTGAGGATCGCGGTTCAAAGCCAGCCTGGGCAGGAAAGTCCGTGAGACTCCTATCTCCAATAGGCCACCAAAAAGCCGGAAGTGGCGCTGTGGCTCAAGCGGTAGAGCGCTCGCCTCGAGCTGAAGAGCGCAGGGACAGTGTCCAGGCCCAGAGTTCAAGCCCCACGACCGACAAAAAAGAAAAAAGAAAAGAAAAAAAAAAGAAACACAAAATGGCTCTGAGGTAAGGATTTTACCACAACGCCCTAAACGTGGACCGACTGGCGTTAGTTTGGCGGGAAAAGGAGACCGTCGACTAACGACAGTGACGTAAAGCGACGCTTAGTCCAGCCTGTAGAAGTATTTTTTGATTGGTTACGTTCTTGAGATCCTGCCCAATCAGCACCTCTGTCTTTCGCTTCTCTCCTCTCTCTTCCCCTATCGGTGGCGCAGGGGTTTGCCCTTAGTAAAAGTGGCCGCAGAGGCTTCGGTGCCCACCTGGGGTAGTGCGCCTGTTCAAAAGCTTGGCCTGAGGAGGCGGGCAAAAGCGTACGCTACACGGCCGTTGATTGGCTGGAGCGTGAAGTCTCAAGCGCGCTGATTGGCTCAGCCAATCGCGGGAAGGAGTTTGTGGCGCGTGGGCAAAGTAGACACGACTGGCCGTAGCCGGGTTCTGAGGTGTTCGGAGAACTCACCAGACCGAACTTTCTGGCCCCTTGCCTGACGGACCGGCAAAAAAGATGTGGAATAGTAATGTTAAGGGAACAAAGGAGGGGAAGGAGGAAAGCGGCGGGGGACCCAGCGCGGGCCGGGCTGGGGGGTCGGAGGGGCGGCGGCGAACGCGGGCAGACGGGCGGTGTGGGGGAGGGACCGGGCTCGTAGGCTCGGGCCGCGGCCCCCATAACCCGCGCTTGTTCAACACCAGGTGGGTTTGAAAGCTTCGGCGGCACGAGCTACGGCGGAGCGGGTGGTTACACTCAGTCCCCTGGGGGCTTCGGGTCGCCCACCCCGACGCAGGCCGAGAGGAAGTCAGTAAGTTCCGCGGCGCGGCGCGTCCGTCCCTGGCTGGGAGCCCCTGGCCGGCCCCGAGGGGCTTGCAAGGGGGAAGGGGTGAAGCCAGGACGGAGTTATTAAAGGCCGTTATTTTCCACTTTGTTTTATTTTGTCGGCTTTGAACCTCGATCGTCAGATCTCAGC